CGTTGTGACATCGACACAATCCGAGATGGATGAGTGTTTCCGACTAATGAATGAGCAGTCCCAGTACATTAGGCTCACAAGAGAGGTACCATGCAATGGTTGGCTTCCCTATTTGAACACCAAGGTGAAAGTGTCTGATGGCATGCTCAGTGTGAAGTGGTACAGGAAAGCAAGCTCGAAGAACATCCTGATTCATGCCACTTCTGCTCACCCTTCCGCCACGAAACATGCAGTAGTTAGGAATATGTTCAGGACGGCTGCAAACGTGTGCACAGGTAATGCAGAGCGGCAAGAGTCTATGCCTGCTTCCAACATAGCTGCTTCAAACAGTCATGGTGTACCAGGAAATCGAAATCGCGCACGAACCACCGAGGCGTCCGCACCAAAACCATATTCCTTATACACCATTCATATCTGATGAAGTGACCAACACAATAAGGACCGGTGGTAAAAGGCGCTGCAGTACGCGTACACCGCTTGGCAGGCATTTGATCGAAGAGCATGGCGGAAACGATTTTGATGTGAAGTGCAGAATTCTGGCATTCGAGACTGAAATTTCGGCAAGAAAAGCTCTGGAGGCAACTGGATTTCCACAAAACCCAGGATGAACAACCAAGATAATGTTCGTCTATTACAAATGACCTCTTGCCATTTTTGCCATTTTGCGAGCTATTGATGTGAACAGTGAGACGTGCCTTTCGTGTCTTTTTTCGTAGTTCTCCAGAGATTCTGCCAAAAACGCTAGGCTGTCGAGGCATTTGGCAGTGTAGAGGATGTAGAGGAACATCTCTACCGCTATGCTTGGGCTCCTGAGGACGACGATCCTGTCGAAATGTTGTACCATTACCAATTGAAGTTTCCACCTTGCCACCCTTTTTGGCGGAATAAAGTACAACTTGAACGTACACAATAATTTCGAGCTGTGATGAAGAGAGAAGCTGGGCACTTATCTTCACGTTTTTTATTTATTTTCAGATATTAGGGTGTCCGGGGAGCTCTGAGAATTCCCAATCAGTCCTTTTAACGCTTATTGGCAAGAATAAGAGAGACGAAACAACAGTTACTATGAACAGCCCATTCCATTCCTCTTGACTTTTGGTCGGGGTTACTTTGCGCGGGAGTTATCGCGACATCGAAGCTAAACTTCCACATCGGAAAGCGATCTAATGCCTCTACGCAAGTTATGAAGAGTGTTTTTGCCTTCAGTATAGGTGACATCACCTCATACCCGATTTGACTGATAGAGCAGGCAGAACGGTGAAGGTGACGTAAAACGCGCTGAGAATCGTAAAGCACATGCATTTTTCAGTCAGGGGCACGGCTCGCGATCAGGTGTGGAAGTTGATGATATGGCGTCAAGAGGGTAGTGTAGTCTTCAGCGAACGACCTTGTACCGATTTGTGGCAAACAATTGCAAAGGAGAGGCCTTTTTCCAGTGATTCCGCCTCCACACTTCGCCTTCAAGGGCCTTCGCCTTTCACTGGGAACGAAGCTGCAGAACGAAAAAAAGCAGATTCGTCAGTTGTGCGGTCGGAGAGTACGTATCGGTTATCCGTGTGCGGAGGGAGGCGTAGTGTTGTAAATGTAGTTAATTGGGCACGTACAAACTGGGATCGAAGCAGCGGCAGGTAAGGGAAGGATGGATATCGATCTAGCGTCACCAACGGACGCTGGCGTACGTTGCCGCAAAGTATAAACGCAGCCTGATGGCGAATGATTGCGAGCTTTGCCTTTAATCTTAAGTCATACCAACAATGGAGGCAGACACCAGCTAGCGTTACACTCAATTTGCCAACATTTCTCTCATAGCCTTCGATATACGATTTTTTTCCGTGGGCGCATTCACTTGCCACACACCATAGTTTTTTTCTAATACAATTCCATTGCGATACTGCTGCCATACATTGTGAAACCACTTCACCTGGTTGACGTGTATTGGCGGTCTAAACTTGCTACCGAGAGAAAATTTTGTGAGAGTGTTGGACAGGTGGTCACTCTGTATATTATGAACCTGGGCGTTTTGTAGTTGTAGCAGCATCTTGATATGAGGTCCAGTTTTTTCTGAGAAGAAAAGAATCGCAATCCATGACATTGGTTTTGTTGATCCTAAGTCTTGTTTGGGAGGACAGCTGCAGTGATTTGTGGATCTGTCGCGCACGCATAAAATCTCTTCTCAGCTGTTCCATTAGTAATAACAGCAAATGAATATTCAAGAATAGCAAGAATATTCTGATGATTAACGGAATCTATTCTTGTTCTATAGATTACTGGCAATCTAAACTTACTTCCAAGGGAAAGCAAATACGAAAACGAAAAACCTATCTTGGATGTTGCTGAACAACGTGGCAAGAACAAGAAAATATTATATGCAACCGACAAGTTGTGCTCGGGAAATAATTGTGGTTTTCCAAAGCTAAGTACTGCCACAAAATCGCAGATGAATCGGAAGGAGAAAGGAATGTCACGTTTGACATTCCACTGGCCAGAGTTTCCTCATACTTTTCAAACGGCGAACACTTTCAAATTCTCTGGTATAGAAGTTGAATAGGGAGGGTAGTGTGGTCCGCAGCGAACAACCTTGTACCGGTTTCGCGGCAAAAAATTGTAAGGGAGGGGCGCTATAGCGCAATATAGGTTCAGTGACGCCTCCTTTTCCAGTGACTCCGCCTCCAGACTCCGCCTTCAAGGCCCGCCTTTCAGTGAAAAGCGAAGCTGCCGGACAAAAGGCATGAAAATCGTTGCTTCTGTGGTCGTGGACTTCTTATCGGAGGATCAGCTGTGCAGATAAGAACGTAGTTTTGAAGATGGAGTTCATTGGGCAAGTAGAAACTGGCATTGGGAATGGGGTTCTGTCTGAGGCAGGCGGCATGTTTTTTTTCTGCATTTCACTCAGTTATTTAGTTACGAGTTACTCAACACCTTGTCGTCTATATGCGAATCCCTAATCCACTATCTGTGATGGCGAATGATCGCGAGTTTTGCCTTTATAGTAGATTTATTTGATTGGAGATCGTGGTCACGATGTGATATTCGTTTTCAACGCCGGCGAACGAAGGAAACGATGGTCATCTGCGCCCAAAGGCTGAACATGGGGACAGAGCATCACTCCTAGCGAACGACAAAAAACGAGTCTAATATTCGTAATCGAGATCCCCAGCTAATCTCAGATGCAAGTTTGCCACAAACGTGGTGAGAACTCGTGGCGCCAAGTAGGCCCCGCTTCTCTCATCTTTACACTTGATCACTGCTCCTTACCACCACTCTATACAGGGCACGCCATCGTTGTGATAACCACAACGGGGGGGGTCTATTCGACCGCAAGGAGGGTGTACTTGGTATAAAAAAATTTTTTTGATAGATGACTTCTTTTGTTTCACGGACGCTATGAGGGAGGGGGTCGTTCTTGTATTTGAGAGGAAATTGGGAAAAACCTTTTCCCGGTTGTTGACTTTTGCCGTTTTTCCCGCTCATTTGCTGTTATATACAACCCCTCCTAGCTGGCTACACTGCTCCCCACCCTCCCCCCGCAGACAGCGAAATTTGGGGAAAACCCAGAAACTTTTCGAAAAATGCCGGAAAACTGGTAGGAAGTTGGGAAATGGATGGATGGGATTAGGGAGGGAGGTCGTATTTTACTGGAATTTATCACAACGCGATGGCGTGCCCTGATTCCATACACAGTAATAGTGCCTTATTTTCGGGTGACAAGAAATGATAATTGTTGATAAGACCTGATAAGGGGCGTTAAAAAGTGCGGGTTATCAAATTCATAGAGCCTGTCCCAGCAACGATGGAACGATGGTTACAAGATTTAATATCCGGTACGGGACAGGAACATTATTGGTGCGTGACAACAAGTGATAACAATTGATAAGATGTGATAAGAAGCGTTAGGAAGTGTGGTTCATCAAGTTCATAGCGCCGGTCCCATCAATAATGAAATGCATTCCGCATTTCATTTCTTCAAATCGATATGAATTTAATGCTTTTCGTCATTTCTGCAGTTCTGCATTTCTTCACGGCCGCAAGCTATGAATGCGATCTAATAGCATTCATTTGCCAAAGTTGGCACCATTTTAAAAGTCTAGATATTTTACCGTCGACCAAATACTAAACTTGGTTATAACCCGATTATATGGTACGGAAACTCGATTGCATTCGAATTATTTGTTTGCATTTTCGTTTGGGAACATGATGTAAATAAATGTTACATTTTTACACCGATACAGTGAAAAAAGATAGACAGGTGCTCTCTACTGTACGTCAGATGAGCTGAGAACTGTTAGTTCCTCAGCTTATGATGAGTTCACTACCGTTCTGTTATGAGGCCAGGATAAAAGGAATAGTGGCCAGGGTAGGTCAGTCTGCATCGCTTGAAGACTCAGGCCGGCCCGGCGAAGCCGGCTCGTGTCACTAGAAGGAGGAGAGCCCGGCGTTGGCCGGACGATCCGACTAGTTAGACACTCTGTCTCTCATCGGTGAAATTCGCATTGCACACATATACAGCTATGTCCTGATAAACGAAGCAATGCCCTCTCGCACTCCACAGTCACTGAGGGGGAGGGGGTATGAACACTCCTTCCAGAGGGAGTTCGTACCAGTTGCCCAATTTTCCGCGACGTGATGCTTGACCCTGCTGTGGACGAATTCACCTCGCACACGTCGACCACCAGGATCTTTCGACTGTATAATTTGTCATTAAAGTCATTTTCTAGACAGAATGGTGAAGAGTATCCTGATGGGGCTACTCTTATTGTAATCAGATCCGTTTTTGAAGTTGGTAGGGCTCTGGAAGTGTCATACAAAAAGTAGAAAGAAAAGGAAAACAGCATTCAGACAAGACAGACTTCGACGAACAGGGTGTACGCTAAACATTCCAGCTAAAACTGTTAATGACGCTGTCAATGTGATAATTACAGTTGACACCGTAATCATCTTTGACCGTTTTTTTGTTTGAGTGAACACACCTGCGGCATTTTTGTCACGGGCTGCTTCCTTCTTGAAACGACCAGTGAGTGAGTGATCACCATTATTAGAAACAAGCAGTCGGAGGCGAGCTCATTCCGCTAGTCCTACACCGTGCCGACAGGCTGCGATATTATCGGCTAGAACCATTTTCTCATAAAAAAGGTGTGGACAGATCTGTTGAACGACAACCATGAGGGAGACTAGCTCATGCCAAATCTCAACTAGTTCGTATAACGCTGATTAGAGCACAGACAGCGGGCGCAGCTAGTCATAGTACATGTATTGTGCCCCTCCGAAGAACCTTAAAAGTGCCTCTGGTCGAAATTTTCGATTTGGTTAGTCTATAACAGACAGAGCCGACGAGAAAGCCCATCCATTGGAGACTGAAATTGTGATCATATATGACGCTCTCGATTGCAGGTGCTCCTGGCTGAACGTAGGGTTACGCAGGAACTATTCGCCATCAAAGTACTGAAAAAAGATGTCATTATACAAGATGACGATGTGGAGTGCACTATGACAGAAAGACGAGTTTTGGCATTGCCGGAGAAGCCACCATTTTTGGTTGCTCTTCACAGCTCCTTCCAAACCATGGTTCATTCCACTCTTCTTTCCATTCACGAACACGAGCAACTGCTCTTCACTTCTATTTCAGGATCGCCTTTTCTTCGTAATGGAGTTTGTGAACGGAGGAGATTTAATGTATCAAATACAGCAAATTGGAAAATTCAAAGAACCTGTAGCGGTGTAAGTCTATGAGATTCTTTCACTTCTAGAAGCACAGTTTCAAAGAATCCGTGAGTTGTCTGTCCTCGCAAACCGAAGGATTTCTTACAGATTCTACGCTGCTGAGATCGCTATTGGTTTACTTTTTCTGCATTCCAGAGGGATAATTTACAGAGACCTCAAACTAGATAATGTAATGGTGGAAAGGGAAGGTCATATAAAGGTAAGCTAAATGCCTCCATTTGTTCGTGGGAACAACAAAATTGGATTCCTAACAAGTGAAAACGAAGTCAGCAGATTGTAAATGTTTTCAAGGGGTGTGGTACGAGGAGCAGTGGATGTGCTCGAGCGATTAAAATAGGAGTACTGCAAATGTCAAGGTTACTGTAGTTCCAATAAGCTACAGCCGATGTTGCAGACCTCATATGCCTCGCAACGATTGTAGACTTCCATTGTCTTGACGTAACCAGGAAGGTCGTTCAGAATATTTGGCGCATTTCTGAACGCTTTTTCGCGTGGTGTAGCGGTCTATGAATGTATTACCAGACCAGACTTTATTTTTGTAAACAGCTCTGGGACTTCCAGAAAGGAGTGGAAAGGGCTATTCAACCTCTGCTCCTTCTACAACTTCCATGACCTGTACATTCCTTATAGCATTGACGACATGTTTATCGAAAGGTGTTTTAAGCCACGCAGTCAAATCAGCGTGAAATACGAATCTATGTGACGGCCTCGTAGGCAGTACCCAATCATGCAACTTGAGAAAGTCAAAAAGCTTTTCCACGTTAAGTTCATGTACAGGGTGATTGATGGTGCTAGTAGCGACCCTCGCAATAACTTGCGAAGTTGAAGCCGTTTGAGTGAGTATGGCTCTAAAGCCTCGATACGGTTATAACAGGTCCATCACAGAAAGCAGCGACGCAATATTGACGATAAATGGTGCTGAATTCAAGGAAAAGAGTGACGAAAAAGAAAAGAGTCTACAGCGCGAATTTCACCACGAAATTTCTCTGATTTGAAGCTTACAAACTATCATTCAAAAATATATCATTGAAAGGCACGCCTCGCGATCACCACTAAGTGTCTAAGCTCTTTGAACTGGATTATAGTGAACCGCAGCAACAACCCTGTACAAGTTTTTCGTCAGAAGATTTTAAGGTAGCGGCGGAAAGGCATCACTTGCACAAGTGTATCCGCCCAAAATTCAGCGACTCCGTCTAGGCTGAAGATATAATATCTTGCAGGTTCTTTACTAGTATGTATGCTCTCTCGCTGCTTGTCTGACCTCTCGCCCAGAACCGCATCGATTTATCGTTTCTTGCTTGAAAAGCAAAATCTTGACTGCGAGCCTTTCCGAATCTTTCATTTGCCTTTTCAACTACAAGCGCGTGAAATGGTACGGTGCATCCCTTTTTCCAACCCCCGATACCAACGAAGTTCTTTGGCTCATCGCGAATTCTGACTTTAATGAGAAGCCGATGTTTTAAGTGATGTAGACTGCATTGAAGTAGTTAGTGAAGGGCGTTTCTTCCAAATCTAATTTCCAATTCAAATCAGCTGATTGTTGCTTTTTCCCCTTTCCATTTATATTCAACTTTCCCAGAGCGGTTGAGCAAAAAATAAAGTTCAGTTTGGTGATCGCGTACCCGTTTATCAAACGTTTCGAGTAGTGCTCCGTTTTCCTGCCTCCCCTAGGTGTTCTTCGAAAAAACCATGAAGATCGCATGTATATTCTGCAATATCCACAACTTAAGAGGAGCACCACTGCTGAAGTTTTCACAGCATTTTTTTTACCAACGAGCTTTTCAACCCCTTGGCGACGTTGTGGGCCACGGTGGCTGATAAGCGAGTGTACCCTAGGACATCATGTGTTTCTGCAACACATTTCAGGTTGCTGCTTTTGGTTTCATCCGATGGTTTTTTCATCGAATGTTCAACAGGGATAAAGGATAAAGGATAAAGTCTTCGCCGTTAATCAATCCCTTTGTGGGATGCGGCACGCATTCTACTTCCATTCAGAATCGTAGTGGCTTATTGAATGCGATGTGGCCTATACAATGACTTGCGGTGGCCAGCCGATGTACAAGTCAGTTTTCATCCTTCCCAGATGGATCTGGCACAAATTTACCATCCCCGGGGTAGAAAGGGCTTGGTCGGCGTGGGTGGGAATCAACCCGGGGTTTGAACCCAGGACCACGGGAGTGGTAGGCGCGCCAATTGCCACTAACCACGTTCGCCTGGAACAGCGTTAAGAAAGAAAAATGTTGCTCTCATGATATTAGGTTGATGCATATGCTTTTCACCCCGACTTTTTGTAAATATCTCAAAAGCGAACCAGCCTGAAGATTAGAGGTATGCACCATCACCATTCACTACTCGACGCCAGCGCTCAGGCAGCTTGTCGATTCCATCCTTCCAGAACGACGGAGGCTGGGACTTGAAGAAGTCGTCGAGTGCCTTTCTGACCTGATCCTTTGTTTCGAACTTTTTTCCGTCCAGAGAGCGCTGCAGGTGGCTGAACAGCCAGTAGTCAGAAGGAGCGAGGTCAGGGCTGTAGGGAGGGGCGACCATCAGCCATCCGTACTTCTCCAGCTCGGCCTGGGTCGCCTTTGCAGTGTGAGGTCGGGCGTTGTCATGGTGGAAGTAGATTTCCGCATTCCTTCCACGAGTACGGTCGACGTGATCTTTCAATTTCCGCAGCTGGGTAACGTATGTGGAAGCGTCAATCGTCTATCCCTTCTCCAGCAGCTCCCAGTACTCCATGCCTCTTCTGGACCACCAACAGGACAGGAGAACCTTTTTGGGGTGAAGGTCGGCCTTTGGGGTGGCTTCTGGCTGTTCTCCTTTGTCGACCCACTGCCGCTTCCTCCAGGGTGACGTACTTCCAAATCCAGCTCCATCGGCCGACCCGACCTCGGAGCATCTTCGAGAGAAAAGTCTCCTTTCTTGAATTTGGCGAACCAATTCTTGCATGTCATGTAAGAGATGACGTCCTCACCGTATGTATCCACCAGCTTGGTATGGGCTTCCTTTGCATTCCAGCCGAAATCGTGGAGCAAAACCAGGCAGTGGCGCAGGTACATTCTGTCACAGTGGTAATTGTGCGACATTGTGGCCTGCAAATGCAAGGTGGGTGAGTGATAGCTAGTGTGATAAAAGAGTATAATGCACACGTCACGCACACGTGATGACGAAATACCAACATCCATGCAAACGAAATACGGAAGGATCAAACACGGGGTTGAAAACATGCATCAACCTAATATATGCCTCAAATTGAAAACTGGAACCAGGTACTACTGTTATTCCGAAAATCTCAAGAAAAGCTTTTTAGCCGCAACCTAGAATAAAGGGACTATTAAGATTTCTGGTCACTGAGGTGGCAGTCATTTTTGACCATGGCGTCATGTGGCGTGAACATCAGCGCTAACGCCTCTTTTTCTTACCAACATCGAAATAAACTTGTATGCAGGGATTATCTGGCGTTCTGATTGGGAGGTAGCATCCGTTTCTGGAGCTATGTTATCCGATGCCCATGGGCCCTAGTTTGCAAGATTCTGCAGAAAAAAAAACTGCAAAACCCCTCTGAAGTAGGCGCGACAAAGGGGGCGGAGCCGAGAGCTGAACCGGACTCACCCTAAACCCATTCAAAGGTGAACAGAGTCGCCTGTGTGTGGGTGTACGTGCAGAGCACAGCATCGGGATGTGTGGAATGGCAATGGCGGTGTCGCTACGACCCCCTTCGGGGAGGTCGCTTCACTCATTCAAAGCTCTAACTGTTGGCTATAACAAAAACTATCAAACATGTAAGGATCAAACAGCGGCCGATTTGTGATTCCGGCGCAAATAAGCGCTGGGGCAGATTGGTTGGTAGGGTGGAACTGAAGAGCGTCTCTTGGAGGTCATAACCTTTTCAGGCTCGGAGCTTCCTGGAAAGAGCAGGCGGCATCTGAGAGCGATGGCAGTACTGTTCCGTTTTCTTACTAACCATTATCCGAATCCTCCCCTTTTCAAGAAATATTTGGATGGGTTCTAGATGGGTTGATGGCAAATCGCACGCGAACTTTTATTCTTCGAACGACTATAACTTTTTCTTATCAGCAGTCTTTTCTGAAACCAAAAACACCTCCAGAAAGCACAACCTCTCGCTTCCTAAGAAATATTTCAATTTCACTGAATAACCGCTAGTTCAGATGATATCTCAGATGGCTCTTCAATAGGCTAAATTCTGAGCCTTAAAGCTCTGCCCCTACTGTGCCATTGTGAGATCATTCGGGGACTTCAGTGTGCGTTTAGAACACAGGTTGCCGTTGAACTGACCATGAAAGGAAGAATAATTTGATTATCACGATCACTTTCGCCTTTAGTGTGCTCCGTGCATCACTCTCCCACGCTGAGATGGTCTTAAGGACCTCCCCATTCCTGAGCGGTCAGGGAGGACTCCCTCATTGAGATTCTTACAACGGTGCTGCCGTCTATCATTTATTGCATATGCGTGAGGAAGCACAAATGCATAAAACACAGCGGATAGATATGTCATAAGATAAATTTGAAAAATACGGTTGCACTGGAGAAGGGGGAAGGGGACGGAGCTTGCAGTGGTGTCCGATGTGATTTAGAACCGTGAGAGCGGGAACCGTGGGAACGCAAGATTGCCCACTACTTGATCGGGTGTTATTGATCCATTCGAAAAGCTGCTATCCTCTTTTCATGAAGGTGAATATCGTTCAGAATGCCTTGACAACAGCTCGGAGGTTGACGTCCACAAATGTTCCTGTAGTGATGGATACCGTGACGCGTATACTTCTCGAAAACGGCTATGGAAACAGACGCGTAAATTGTTGGCGCCCATATCAGGTACCAGGAGGCGTTCCACTAATAATTCCCTTTCTCTCAGATCCTTCACGAAGGATGTCGATAAAGTTGTGAGGAATCGGGGATTCCAAGCTTGATATTTCTACTGCCACCAACATGCGTCGTCTTCGTTACGTCGTCACGAGTATACGAAGACCGATGTGGCCGCGAAAACTGTCTTTACTGCCAGGAGGAACGAAAGATCTGCCTTTTGAAGAACACCGTGTACGAAGTGGAGTGTGCGTCATGTTCGGAATTCTACATCGGAGAAACTGGACGACCACTCTACAAAAGGCTCGATGAACATCTAAGGGCTTTCCGGAACCCAGCCAGCTATCCGGATAACCCTTTCTCGAGACATCGTTCCTCGCGCCACACGAATGAGCGTGCACCTGAACTCAAGGTGCGCGTGATCCACAGGAACATAAGTGACCCGGTGGAGAGGAAAATAAAGGAAGCGCTGGAAATTCGAAGGAGGAATCCACCGATCAACAACAGGGAGGAGCTAAGAAGGACAATGGAATCATTGCTGCACAATGATGTGACATAACCGGTGATACGTGACATATGACAAATAGCAGTGTATCAACTACTACCATCTTACCGCTGCTTCACCAATCTAGCTGTGCCAGTTCTAGAGGAAAGGACAGCTGGGGAGGTAAGCCAGTGTGGTCCTAGTGTTTTTCACATCATCATACACCACCTTGTAACATACTCGCGGTTCCCTTTCCCACACCAGACCCTCCTCCCGTAGGAAGCCGGTCAGTTATTTGTTGATTGTTTCCCCTTTGGATTTCTTGCCTATGTTTGTAAAGTTAGATGATGTTGGTGTAGGCTTTAAATGTGATGTTTCTAGACCTGAAGAAGGGCTTAAAGCCCGAAACGTCGTCTATGCGATAAACGATTTTGACGAGTTTCATTCTATCATTCACAAAGAAGACACAAGAGTGAAACTCAGAAATCCTCAAAATACAAAAACATCACCTTCATTATCGAGCAGCCACCCATTTCAGACAGAGCGGGCTATTGTCAGGAATACGTCCCGGACGGCCGCAAAAGTTTGTACGGGAAATGAAGGAAAAGAGTCAGTGAAAATGACAACTGAGCAGAATGGCTACCTCCTCCCCTCGCCATAGAGCTAGAACAGGTGTTGCTACGAGTAGACCGGTGGTAACCCACTGATGGACACAATAGCGTTTATTACCCTTCTTCTCCGATGAAGAAAGCACCTCTGAAGAAATGCCTGAGACGATCGAGTTTGCAGAACATTGTTGGTGTGTGGAGAATTCTCCCAACAACCTAGAACATCGCCTAGTTTGAAACGCCTTGCGCAAGTGGAAAATCGGATTGTGTAGTTTCAGGACAGGAAAGGAAACTGCAGACTGCATAGTCGCAGGTGTGGCTTACAAGATCTATTGTCAAATGAGTGGAAGCGAACACATCGGTAAACGGCTAGGCCACTCAATTTGCAGATCGAGGAGCCCTTGGAGTGGTGATCCAGACTGCTTATATCGACTGCATTAAAGTGTAATTGGAATCAAGATCACAACGGAGACGATTTTATGGTCACGGTAGTGGTTTTAGAGCGTCAAGACCAGCTTTTTGCGAGAAAAAAATCCTAGAGCGTTGTAGATTCAGGTCACGAATCCAAGAACGAACCGAAAGACAGAATGCCTGTAAATAAGAGGAGAGTTATCTCCTATATGAGACTAGCATTTCATCCGGACTCTAGATAGGCTCAGTTCGTAAACTTCCACCACCGGACCACTCGATCCGGTAGATTTGATTGAAGAATGTCAGGTAATTTCACTCGTATTCCGTGTTGGACTGAGTTGGGTCCGAAGGGTAAGGGGTGCCCGAGATTTATAAAAAGTCGGACGCTGTGACCACGGATCTGAATGGAATGGAATGCTCTCGCATGCCTCAAATAGATATTCATGTTCGGCCAACACTTCATCGTTTTATCCTTAGGGTAGTATATTGCACGATCATATTAATATAATATAGTGATATTACGATGCAGACAAGTGGCGTCCTTACTACATCAGCAGTTCAGGGTTGAAATCTCAGAACTCACCTTCGCCCAAGTCAACCGATCCTTTTACTCAGCAATAATGACAAAATGGGAACCATTCTTCCTTGATAAGGTGCGAAACACTGATTTTTTTACATTAGTTGGTTGCCTTAAATGGACGTATCTGCCATATTGCATTGAATGAACCACTACTATTTCGACTAGAAGTAGAGCGCACATGACACCAATAAGGCGAATCGTATTTCAACTTTGTGGGCTTCAAGAGAATTTTTCAATAACTATTGCTGGATTTAAGCCCTTAAACAGAATAAACAGTCTATCAAACCGTTCACTTCTCCATTGATTTAGAACGGGTCCCGCTGTTGATTAGTGTCTCATTTTCCTTCCTTATTCCTTTTCATTCATTCATTCATTCATTCATTCATTCATTCATTCATTCATTCATTCATTCATTCATTCATTCATTCATTCATTCATTCATCCATTCATTTGCTTCTTCCTTCCGGTTTTGCTTCTTCTTTCTTTTTCTTCTTCTATATTTGTCATTTTTGTGTCATTTCCTTTATTTTTCTTTCTTCTCTTCTTTCCTATTTTCTTTCCCTTTCTTTCCCTTTTCGATTTTTTCAATGACGCGATTATAAACTATTTCACATATGGGGAAAGATGTACCTCTCACTACAGGGGGGGGGGCAAAAAAGACATTTCGACCGAGTCACATATCAGCAAAGGTTTCGCTGCCCAGAGAGAAGACGTGGATACGGGTACCAGGGCGAAAGATACCCAAGATGTTCCTCTATAAGCAGGAGCTGGCTCTCGCCCATCGCCTTCATGTACACCAAAATATGAAGTCATCTCCAGTCCTGACTGGAGAAGACCTTTGGAATTCATGTCACCTCCAAACAGCTGTGAAACTTCTAGTATGGAGTCACCTCTATGGTAGTTCCTGAGAGCAGTACTCTCGATGTGGAGGACCTCCATCATCGAGCAGCTCCGCCAACGTCGCTACGGTCTAGGACATCATCTTCACCTCAGTCGATAAGGCGCCAGTTGATGGTGGGGACCGGAGGTACCTGGAGTGGAGAGACCGATATTTTCTTCGTGCGGCCCCGGACTAAAGGTGAGCGCCGGCGGTTACATCGACCAACTCAAGAAGAATATCTTCCCACATATCGTCGCCCGTACCTTCTTGGAAACTTTGTACTGCTACAGGATTGGGTGACACCACATGGAATCAAAGGGCGTTGGGAAAACTTTTGCCTACTTGGAATGGAAGGGCGTTGAGTATCCTGAATAAGGTGGAATGTCTAAGCAGGTAACCTGACCTAAGCCCCCTCAGTTACCTGTTTGGGGAGGAGTTCAATAGGGTG